GGATTTTCTAGATGGAATTAAATTATTTATTCAAACTATTGAACTATTGAAGCAAATTTAGAGAATACAAAATATTAATAATTTAACCAGACAACCAGTTATGTGTCAAGTCTAAAGACAGATTTCCAGTGCTTGCATCTAATTAAAATTAACAGTTCAGCATTGTGATTGGATGAAAGTGTTCATGCATTGCAGCGAGCTGCTTCGTGAGAGGACTGGAAATCTGCCTTAAGAAGCATTTTAGCTACCTGTTGCTAAAGTTCATTTATAAACACTGTCACTGAAATATTTATTAACAAATACACCCTTCTGGAAAGTACATTAGGGATGGATTTACTGGCGGGGTGTGCACCCCCCTAGCCATGGCCAGGGGGTGCTATTTTTCATGATAAAGCAAAAACTTATTAGAGACAAAATGAGATTCAGTAATTTGAGTAATAACATGATGATAAACGAACTGTGAACAACAATTACAATTCAAATACTGTAGTCAAGCAAGACTTTGCAGTAGTGGAACAAGTTGATAGATGGGTAAGGTCACTGGAAACCAATTGCAACGTAATCGTCCGGAAAATTTTTTTGCCTAAAAAGTTGTCTACGGGGGGGGGGGGGGGAAAGGTCATTGCTCTCTGCGAAAAAATTTTTTCCCCCAAAAATTTTTTAAATAGGGGTCCCTAAAAAAAGTTGCACCCCCCTTACCAGATCATGCTGGATCCATCCCTGAAGTATACATCACTTTGACTATTCTGGTTTTGTAGTATGACATATCCTCTTATAGGAATTCCTATAAGAAAATTATCCTACTTTCCTGTAGGAATAGTAAATGACACACAATGTTCTTCATCAGTCATCGCTCTTAATTTTTTAATGCAAAAAAATATATACGATTATTAATAAATATATACTAATATTACAAATATAAATATTTATACAAGAAATTGGTTATACTAAACATTTCAGATCAGTTATAGTTTTCACCAATGGTTTAATAACAAGTCAAAACAAAAACATAACCTAAAGAAAACCATTGCAGTGTACACAAGCACCAATTAATCATTCTACCTCCATGCAATGCCATATTTATTGACCTTTGTTATTAAACCATCAGGTCCATTAAGCTGCAGAGCTTCTCCATTGACAAGTAATTTAATCGTCTGGCATTAGACAAGTAAAAAATAAGTAGGCCGCACTGGGGCACATTGCAGCTCAATGGGTTAACTAGAGACATTGTAAGATTTTTTGTTAACCCATTAAGCTGCAGAGCTTCCCCATTGACAAATAAAACCGTCTAGCATTAGACAAGTAAAAAAAAAGTAAGTAGGAAGCACTGGGGCTCATTGCAGCTCAATGGGTTAAAATTTGCCTCAAAACATAGTCCTCAAATAAGTTCTTGACTATTCTAGTTAAAAACAAGCAACAAGTCACCTGTAATGTGATGAAACATTACTCAATAAATATTTTTATATACCAAATGTTTTTTGAATATGCCCCTTTTACAAATTATTAGCTGGGCAATAATATTTTTAATAACTAGCCTGGTGTTTCTGTTTTTGACTATTGTTCTTGTTTGCCTTTCTGCACTTTGCAACACTTTACAGTTTGAATTGTTTATTTTTGTCCTCACGTGTTGGCGAACCTCTGAGGCCTTACATCCATACTTTTTTTATACATAAGCTGTAAAAAGAAAAATAAATTTATTTAATGCATACCACTTTAATAGCTGCTGACCAGAAAAATAAGGGAAACATTTCCCCAACATGGCAAGAACAATCATAGTGATTGCTTAATGTTAATTATATTTTCAATAAACTTTCCAACCAGTTGGTTTTTATTAAGAATGGTGATCCAGAATAGATGAAACTTAATGATACTCTTAAATATTAATGTCACTTCTATAAATGCCACTCTGTTCTATGTCTGATTAGTCAAATGGAACTTCACTTGTCATGCATGGATAAATCTCCTAGACAAGTCATGTAATGTTCTTTATTGATCTCCATAATATTGTGATGCATATTCAATACATGTCACCATAAGCTCTATTGGGAGCTTCATAAAGATTTTCCTGCCAGAAAAGGCAAGGGGTCTATACATATGTATTATATACAAAAATAACAAAATGAAGTATTTAATTGTACACACCTTTCATTTCTTGATCATGATCATCATGGCGTAAAACAACTGCCTTAACACCCATGTTAGTTTTTAGCTTGTCTATTTGGTCGTCCATCAGTGCGTTTAACGGAGAAATCACGATTACAATTGTTTCTGTTCACACGGCAGAAATATTTCTTTTTCTCGAATTAATGTAGTTGAACATGGAAGGTAAAAGTTGGTATATCAACGATTTAACATCCCTTCCATTTACTATTTGACGAACAGCTTCTTTCTGCTCTTCCTTTAACTTAATTTGAGTATTATTTGTTTTTACAAGTGCAAAATATATTGCTTCTTGTAGTAAGGCTTCCTTGCATTCATTGCGGTCGCCATGTTTTTAGGGAGAAAGGCATATCCTGTGCGACCAAGCCTCTGCGTCGGAATTCCGAGGCAGATCAACAGCCTGACCCAGGGCCACTGTGAGGGCCGCCCGAGCTTGGGCCTGGGGACGAGGATGTCCACACAGTATAAATAAAGTTAGTTTAGTTTTAATTTATAAACAAATATCCTACCATTTGGGTCTTTGAACTCAACCAAAGCTATTCTTTTCTCCAGGTCTAGATGGACTGGGACTGTTTCAACATCGCCACCTCCATGTCTTTCGTTTTCAAATCTGTACAACACGGAGTCGGGGGTTGCTGTAGTTGGTAAGTCTTGTACTAAAATTGTTTTACACAGAGGAACTGTCTTGATTGATACATGTTTTCCTTCTAATATTGGGTTCTTTTTCAAACCTTCCTGTATCTTGTCGAAATCTATAATAAACGTTTTTCATTATGGTTTTGGTACTATACATACAAGACTCTACGCGAAATATCGAGGGTGTGGATTTAGATTGATAGTTTGTATTTCGACAGATTTCATTCATTCAAACTTTTTTGTGCTAATCTAATGCAAGTCAGAAGTCTACTTGTACCATCATTGTGGATTCGAAGCCGACTTAAACCCCAAGTAGATTAATTTACACTAACACAGCTACTGCATGCATGCATATGTATATAGGCCCATATTTATGGATAAAATTTCGTATTATGAAGAAACACCAAAAAATAGAAAAACTCCTTAACACCACAGCATAAATATTTTACGCGAGAGAACATTGAATTTTTTTCAAATTAATAGAGATTGGCCATTGGGTAAAAAATGTTTTTGCCTTTTAATGGTTGGATCAGCAAAAGTTTTACCAAGAAAACATTTCTTTCGGGGCCATCCTCACCATAAATAAATGACCCACACAAACCGCTATAAGGCAGTTACATACCCTCGCTTATCGTTTCTCAGCTAGCTTACCTATCGGGCTGTAGAATGTTGCTATTGCATTGATAGTCTCACTGTTTTTCGTGCCATACTTGATATATTTCATATCTATTCCTTCAGTTCTATTTCTTTCTATATCACTTTCTGAGACTTCTGCCTTCTTTCGTCGTATTGTTAGTGTACATTCTTCAATAGAATGCGGTCTTGTTTCCAAGGTCTTTTTGGCACCTTAAAAAATTAAATGGTTTTTTTCACTCAAGAACAATCGCGGGTTAAAATTTTCCTTGTTAACGTAGAAATAACTCTATTTGGGTCAACTTTTGATATTCCTGCACTCGCAGTGAGCTAGCTATGAAATATGAAACATGGCTTATACAGCCATGAAACATGGTTTATATGAGGCCTCCAATGATCAACAATTTAGGATGGGACACACTTGAACGGCGTAGATTGCTTAACCAGTCGTGTATGTTCTACAAGATGTACCAAGGCTGCGTTGATTTAAACTTCTTCCCTGAAGTGTGCCCTCTAAAAAGAAAATCCCGACTTCCAAATCATCATTCCTTTCAGCAAGTTTCTTGTAACAAAAAAATATTATATTTTCAAATTTTCCCAAGAACTATTGTAACCTGGAACAACATCCCTTTTAACGAACTTGCATTAACTGCATTAAGAGCATCAGTATAATTTTTGGCAGGGTACTTTTATTGTACATTTTTACCTTTTAAAGTTTTTCATACACATGCAGTTCATAGTTATTTGGTTAATGTATATACATATATAACTAATATAAGTATCTCCCAGTATAGTAGTGTAAGCTGATTTAGGAGTATCAGATTAAAGATTAAAGTGCTTGCAAGTTGAATAGAAAGGGGGCTTGACCTGTGCCCCCGTTATTATATATCATCACTTGGATTGTCCTGCATCTACTCGAATACTTGGTTCAACCAAGTGCAGAAGTGCTGAAAAAAATATTTCACTAGTGCACTTATCAAAATAGCTGTTGAGTATGGACTGTAGTATGCATTTTCAAAATACAGGTATACCTTCCGTAATTTGCCCTCAATTACGTTATAGCGCGATGTATCGCGTATAAATCTAATTTCGTTGCTTGCCAGTATTCCTCTCTCGCATATATATGATCAGTGGAATCCACTGCAGAGGCAAACACATGGATAAAATGAATAATTTAGCAAATATTATATGTGTTAACATGCAATAACTCTGACACAAATACATTCTTTGTTGCAATTATCGTATACAAACAAACAAAAGCAAATATCGTCGCCGTATTTGATCATAATTTGGTTATTTGGCAAGTGCTTCCGGTAAAACAGAACGAAATACTAAAGCGGAAGTAGGAACCTCGAGGTTCTGTATTTTACTACTGAATAACAGAATGAAATTAACACCGTATCCCTTTACATACCAAGCGATAATAGACATGTATACAGTATATTTGGTTAACAGGTTAACTAAGGCATAGAATTTCTCTTTAAAGTTGGTTCGTTCGAGAACTTATGTCATATACACTGGGACTGAGTCGTGTATAATATTTTGTGATTTTATATCATGCAGTTATAATACACAGTAGTTATAATACTCGCAGTGACAGTGTTTATAGTATACAGTGAATGCATATTAAAACACTCTGCTTGTAACTGATTACAACAAATTGAAATGACTAATGGGGAAATCCCTATCCGACTGTATCGCAATTAATCATATTAAACTTTGTGAGACCTTGCGTTCAATATATACCACCTTTTTTAATGAGATACCGTAGAAATAGAATTAAATTTAACGGCTGCAAGAACTATGACATTGCTTTGTCTTATTCCACGAGTAACAAAATCGCACAACACAACATGTAAATTTGATCTATTCAGTGTAGACTAAATATATTAACGACTAAAGTTGCAAGATAGTTTGTTGGTTAAGACTTAAGTATATAACGGCTCGATTTTGAAAGTGAAAGATGATGGAATTATGCCATCTGATCCGGATCTGCTATTGTAAATACCTAAATACCATCATACTATTTTGAAATTGCAACATTTTAATACATTATAGCGATAAGTTATACTATATAGTTCATTGAAAAATTGAAAGATCTAGTTGGCTACAATCTGCTGTTCCTTGCCGGCTGCCGCTTGCTGGATCCGGCTATAGCATATAAAGACAGTCCTACCTTCGGCATTAGCAAACGTTATTGATGCATTCCCACTTCCTTTATTATATTCTATATTCGTAATGTCCCCTCCACGTTTTGAGGACGAGAAATAGTTCTCTAAAGTGTCTCTTGAAGTGTTTGTGTGTATTCCCGTCACTTCAATAATCAGGGGTTCGTATTCGTCCATATTTTGTACGCTTATTTTGGCGTGTTTGTGTATACATGTTTATTACAATCATATAAATAATGATTTAGTCGATTCCAAGAAGGGTATTCCACTGACAATGGAGTCAGTGGAGTTTCCCTGAAATTCTACACTTTACCAGGAACCGAAAATGAAAGTGGAAATAGTTACATCCTCATCCCCAGTGATACGCTACCGGAAGAATGCATTTCATTGTGCTTATATATATAGACCCAATCTCGTACCCAGAGCAATGCCTGTGCGCGGGCTAGGATGGCATTGGCTTCTGAGGAAATTGACAACCGGAACCCCTAAATTTAGGGGTTCCGGTTCTTTGTCGGCATGCACGATTGATAAACGTTAAATTAAACCAATCACAGCACAGGAAAAATTCAATTTCCCCATAGCCAATGTCATCCTAGCCCCCGCACAGGCATTGCTCTGGGTACGAGATTGATATAGACCGTGCAGCGAAATAAGACTCTATATTTCTTCAGTATATTAATCAGTTTCGCAGGGTCTGATTGAGCGAACAAAGCTTAATTACTGACATACAAGTATTTTATTGACAGTTTAACAATTGGGTAGAATTTTAGCTGACATGTTACAAAACTGTATCTTAATTGATGGCTGACAAACGATGAAACAGCAATTTAATTAGAATTAGGCCCGTTTCATACGCCGTACTTCACATGTGCCGAATACATTAAAGACAATAGATAATGAGCTGAAATGCCTCATTACCTATTGTTTTTAATGTATTCGGCACATGTGAAGTACGGCGTATGAAACGGGCCTACAATAATTTTATACTGATAACGACCTCATTCAAAGACTCTCCTTTGGCTTCAGAAATAAAGTGGACATTATCGAAGGAACTAAACTCAATAGGGCCATTTATACGGGACAAAATAAGTCGCGACTTACATAAGACGTGACTTAAATAAGCGGAGTTATCGCATAAATGGTTCTCTACGGCTTTGGTCTTATTTATTTGCTATAGCTAT